GGTTCTCTAGCTATAGAGTCTTTCTTTTCCAGCTGGAAAGAAAGACTTGGGTTAATTTGTAATGAACATCAGTTTTGGAGAGCACGTTTAGTCTCTGTGGAACTTTCTGCCTTTTAAAGGAGATGTGTCCTCTACCCGAGCCTTGACCAAATTCAGACTGTGGCCTCGGGAGTTCTGGGTAACAGATCTATAAAGCGCCCTGCGGACTGGTCTGTCCCTAAGTCCCAGGGAGGAATGTGAGTCATAAAGTAGAAGTTTCTGTGGAAAAGTGAGGATTAGGCCCCAGCTCCCTACGCAGCCTGCTCTGCCTCCATTCATTAACCTGACAATGAAAACTCCCAATTCCCGGCTTATCCACCCAGATGTGTGACTCACATGCATTCCCAGCTCTCAGTCCTAGCCAGATTTGAGAGCGAAGAGCATAATTTTCTTTGACGTGTCAGTGCTTCAGGCACTTGCCCAGAATACTGGCCTGCAAACTCAGCAGATAACAGAGAGTGCAGTGACTCTCAGCTTCACTGCTTCCTAGCTCTGTAACCTTAGATGAGTCTGTTAACCACTCTGGGCCTCGGTTTCCTCCTCTAGAAAATCCTCCTCTAGATAATAATATTTATTTCATATGGCTGTAAAGTGAGAGTACTGTATCCATATAAAGGGCTAAGAACTGACCCTGTGTACTCCAAAAATGTTAGTTTTATTATTCTTGCTAACAAAAACCAGAAGGTTGAGAAAGGCAGAAGGAGGTGGGACAGAAAGTGGAAGGAAATATAAAGGAGTTAATTTCACTCATATCAAGAGGCAAAAGATTCTACATCATTTTTCAAGTTGACAAATGAAAAATGAGCTGTATAATATGTTAAATACAATTTTTTAAATAACCATGAAAAGAACCAAAACTCTACCAATTTATCAGAAATGGAGAAGGGAAGGAAAGAACAGAAACCATTTTATTTAGCAAAAGGTAGAATTTAAGGCAAAAATAAAGATATATCTAAATATTCCTCAACTATCAGAAATGTAAATGAGATAAAATCTTATTAACAGAAAAGGATACTTAGATGGGGACTGGAGAACAAATCTAACAGCAAGTCCTATACTTCCTTCAAAATCTAATATAGATGGCGAAAATATCCACTTTGGGCTAAGGGAGCAGAAATTAAGGAAGTCCTTGCTTCAGTGGGATTCTCACCCATCCCCAGGTGCCATGGGCTTCTCTGACACTTAATAGCAGTGGTTTCAAATTACACATTCTTTCTTCCCAGCCCTGGAATCGGTACACTCACTCTAGGGAATCGCTGCACTTGTGCCCAGTTGCTGATGACAGTAGATTCATCTCTCATGTGTGTTTAGAACTCCTGGTTTGCAGAGTATTTTTCCACTGTTTTTAACTCATACCTTCTTCTGTAGACAAATAAATAAATGTTTAAAAACAAAACTCACACCACCTATTACACACGTCCAATACATTATGATACCGAATTTGCTCTCCCCTGCCCATCCCCACTAGGTTGAGAATCACTGATGTACTGAATCCTTTTCCAGGGAAATCAGTGGACAAGTCAGGATCCGCAGGGGGTTTTGATAGAATTATTATACAAGATTCAAGAACCTTGAGTGTAGGCCTGTCTCAGGCAGGACTAAACAGAATGATCCCAGACAGCTCTCTGGGCTCTGCTGTTATAAGGTTTTTGCAATCACCAGGTGTCAGGAATAAGATCAAAGGCAGCAGTCCTAGTAACAAGAGTCCATCCTTAACCCAGAGAAAGGATGTCAAGTCCAGGGCACTCGAATCTGAGGGCCCTGCCCAGCAGCACCTCCAGAGGATGGTAGTGATGTGACCTCTGTACTGACCGGGAGTGCAGGCTGCCAATACAGTCCATATACACTCTCCCAAGCAAGCAGGGTTCCAGAGAACCAAAAGGAAACGGGTAGCTTGTGAGCTCCCAGCGTTTGGTATAAAGGCCTTGCCTCAAAATAGGAGACCTGAGTGTCCGTACTCCATGTATTGATAGCTAACGTTTGATGAGTGCCTGCAAAGCTCTAGACACCATCCTCGGCTCTTTTCCTCCGGTTATTTCATTTTATCCTTAAAACTCCCCGTTATTCTATCCATTTTACAGATGAGTAAATTGAGGCTGAGAAAGGTTAACTAACTTGCCCGAAGTCATAGAGCCACTAAGAGATAGAGTTGAGTTTCCGAGAGTCTGACTCCAGAGTCTTCTCTCCCATGTACCTCACAATTCTCATTATCACATTTCACATTGGAAATGAAACAGAAAACCTTTAAGCAGCACCTGTTCTTGGGATGACCCTGTGGAGCCTCACTGCCTTGCCCTTTTCCTCCCTGTAGCTACATCAGCAAGGTAGATGTGCTGAATATTTTAGTTGCTGCTGCCTATCGCCACGTGCCATCTCTGGATCAGATCTTGCAACCAGCCGCAGTAACCAGGCTAAGGAACCAGCTTTTGGAAGCTGAGTACTACCAACTGGGCGTTGAGGTGAGGCACAGACAAAGCTGACATCTACCCCAACGAGTTACCTCCTCTAGTTGTCCTTGGCCATGGGGAGTGTCTAAGGCATGACAAGTTTGCCAGTGTGGGAGTAATGGCAGGTGGGGTGGTGGGGAGGGAAATGATTGACACCAAGGGGATAGAGTCGGTCTTTGGGACCCTCAGGAATGGCTGTGGGTGCCTCCCCCTAAAAGGAGCAGTTTTTCCTCCAGGTCTCCACAAAGACTGGCCTTGATACCACCGGGGCATGGCACGCTTGGGGCATGGCCTGCCTCAAAGCTGGGAACCTCACCGCCGCACGGGAGAAGTTTAGTCGCTGTCTGAAGCCCCCTCTCGACCTCAATCAGCTGAGTCATGGCTCAAGACTGGTACAGGATGTGGTTGAGTACCTGGAGTCCACAGCAAGGCCACTTCTATCCGTGGTAAGAGCACAGCAGGCAGAGGGTGAGCTCCAGGGCCAGGGGGAGGCCCAGGGGCAGTAATGGCCTGGGGAAAGTATCAGCTTCCATTCAGCTGACAGTGGCAGCCCTGGCTCAGAGCTGTCAGGTTTGGGTTTCGTTCTTTCCATTATATATGGTTAGATAAGTCATAAAGAGTCAAATTTCAAAAAGAAAAAAGAAAATTAATTTTAAAACAATGAAAATCACATATAATCCCATACCCACAGTTAAGCAATATTTAGATTTTAGTGAATTTTCTTTGTTATGTTTTTTATTTAATTGGTGTTATACAGTTTATAATATATAGAAGTTTATATCCTGCCTGTTTTCTACCCTTAAAACTATATAATAGTGAGCACTTTTCCACGTTGTTAAATATTCTTTGAAAACAGTATTTCCAGCGGCTGCTGAGAACTCCCTGAGTTCCATTGTTCCCTCACACTCTGTCCTCTCTTGGCAGCAAGATGATGATTACTTGGCCACCTTGAAAGAGCTGGAAGCTACCCTTCGGACCCAGAGCCTCTCTCTGGAGGTGGTTCCTGAAGGGAAGATCATGAACAACACCTACTACCAGGAATGCCTCTTCTACCTGCATAACTACAGCACCACCCTGGCCATCATCAGCTTCTACGTGAGGCACAGCTGCCTGCGGGAAGCCCTGCTGCACCTCGTCCACAAGGTGGGACTTGCAGACATGGCTGGCTCTCACACGGCAGTGCCTGCTTTGCCCGCTTGGCTTGGCCCATCCAGCTTTTATGGAGGCAATAACCCCCCTTAACCTTACCCCAGGGTTGAGCTATGAGATCATCTCTGGCAAAGTCAGGTCCAAATGGCAAATTCTAGGGAATTCCCTGGTGGTCCAGTGGTTAGGACACCACACTTTCACTGCCGAGGGCCCGGGTTCAATTCCCGGTTGGGGAACTAGGAACCTGTAAGCCTCACGGTGCAGCCAAAATACAAAACAAAACAAAACACAAATGGCACATTCTATCTGCACAAATCATGATTTGATGAGTGTGCAAAAGTCTTAACCTGGATCCCAGATTGCCCTTCTGACGGGCAGTGACAAATTTCATCCCTTCTCCCAGCACATTTAGCAGAACCAAGTAATAGCTGAGAGCATGGTCTCTGGAATGAGATGCTTGGTGTAAGTGGTGTGACCTTGAGCAAACTGCCTAACCTCTCTGTTTCCACACACTTCCCACCTGCTCTGGGCTGTGTCCTGCTGCTGGTCCCACTGCTCGTCCACTCAGGGTTGTTACCACAAAGGCCAGGAAGCACCCATGAGCCAGATCCTAAATTGGGGCCACAGGTATCTCACAGAAGGAGAGTGTGCCCTCCTTTTTTCCCTCTGACATGCTCTGCCCTCCTCCCACAGTGGGCAGAGTCACCCCTGAAGTGCATTATTTCTTTGGAGCCATTGTTAGGACTCTGTTTCACCATGACTCTTTGGCCTTCTCTTTTTTATCTGAAAGTCCCATGAAATTTTTCTGAGGAATTGACTGATGAGTACCAAATTTCATATAAAATTAAAGGAGCTTGAGTTATGCTTTAATTCCAGTCTGCTGCCTTCATCCAAAATGGCAGCCATTGAAAGTTTACAAATAGGCATATCTTCTAGGATTCCTCCAAGTGGGTCAACAGTACAGAGTCATGGTAACCATACCCCTACGGGACAGCGAAAGGGAAATGTTTTCACTACTGCCTTAGCTAGTGTGTCTTAACCGGGAGTCAAGAATATTGTTAAAAGTTATATTATTTGGCATTTAATTGCTAAAACCTGTTTCCTTTTCCTCAGTTTCCAAAAGAGTTTTGAGGTAAAGCTGCGTCACCTCACCCACTTCTGTTTCTTCTAACTGATGACCACTCCAGAGGGTTAAGCTGCTTACTTACTTATTTTGGTATAAGCTGACGACAGCATTGCCCCTGCTTTACATTAGTCAGAGCTAGGAAAGAAGGCTTCTTTTTATCTCCTGTAATCACAACTACCCTTGAACTGAAGTATCTTACCTTCTCAAGCAGGTGGGGAACAACAGAAAAAAACATTGTGAAAACTATGACTGAATGCCTAGAGCATGGAAGATGTGGTGTTTCCAGCCTCATTCCCTGCCTTTTCACCCCTTACCCACCACACTGCCCCAGAGTGAGCTTTCTAAAACATAGTACATGTTATTTATGTTATTCTTTTTTTTTTAAATTAATTTATTTATGGCTGTGTTGGGTCTTCGTTTCTGTGCAAGGGCTTTCTCTAGTTGTGGCAAGTGGGGGCCACTCTTCATCGCACGCACAGGCTCAGTAATTGTGGCTCACGGGCCCAGCCGCTCCGCGGCATGTGGGATCCTCCCAGACCGGGGCTCGAACCCGTGTCCCCTGCACCAGCAGGCGGACCCCCAACCACTGCGCCACCAGGGAAGCCCTATTTATGTTATTCTTAATTCATGGTATTTCTTTCTCTAAAAGGCCTTCAGTGGATCCCCATGGCCACAAGATGAAGTCCAAATTCCTTAGCATGGATGCAGGACCCAACAGTATCAGGCCCCCTTATTTCTCCAGTTTATTTTCACTGCAAATCCTATCTGTGCTCTATATTCCAGACTTGCCAAATTACTTAAATTTTCCTGATTGTACCATGCCCTTTCTTACTTCCATGAGTCTGCATTGCTGTTTCCCCGTACCTAGAATGCCCTGCCCCTCCTTGTTTTCTTGGAAAACTCCTGTTTATCCTTCCAGACCCTCTGTATTGAGCATTCACCTCTTCCTATAAACCATCACTGTACCTAGAACATAACTCTGTTATTGCATTTATCCCACTGGATTGCAACTATTTGTTTACAATTGTGTCTTCGCATCTGGAGCGAGAAGGCCCATATTTACCTTACCTGGTGTCTTCAAGCACCTGGCCTAGTGCCAGTTATGAATGAATGAATGGATAGATGAATAGATGAAATGGAAGTTCTTTTTTTTTGGCTGTGTTGGGTCTGCCTTTTGTTGCTGCACGCAGGCTTTCTCTAGTTGCGGTGAGCGGGGGCTACTCTTCGTTGCGGCAAGCGGGCTTCTCATTGCGATGGCTTCTCTTGTTGCGGAGCATAGGCTCTAGGCATGAGGTCTTCAGTAGTTGTGGCTTGCGGGCTCTAGAGCGCAGGCTCAGTAGTTGTGGCGTACAGGCTTAGTTACTCCGCGGCATGTGGGATCTTCCTGGACCAGGGATTGAACCCGTGTCCCCTGCATTGGCAGGTGGATTCTTAACCACTGTGCCACCAGGGAGGTCCCAAAATGGAAGTTCTTAAGGGGTTGAATGGCCAAATGGTTTTCTTTTCTATGACTGTGGAATGGGGGTTTATGACTCATGGTCTCTGAACCACAGATGAACTTCAGAAGTGAGCAGATTAGTATGTGTTTGCACTTTCCTGATGAGTTGGTCTATGATATTTATCATTTATTCATTCATCCAAGAAATAGTTACTAAATAGCCAAGGACTATTCTTCACAACAGTGAAGGAAAAAAAAGGCAGACAAAAATAGTTGCTCTACAAAACTTACATTATAGTAGGTAGAGAGACAATAAACAAGATAAGTAAGATATATAGTGTAGGTGACGAGTAATAAGTAAAGTCAGGGAGAGGGAAGGGATGGATTGTGTAATTCTAGACAGGGTGCCCAGGACAGATGACATCTGAGTAAAGGCCTAAAGTAGGTGGGGAATGAACTGTGCAGATTGTGGAGGAAGCATGGTCCAGGTGGAGGGAGTAGCAAGGGCAAAGGCCAGGGCAGCTTGAGCAGAGTAAGCTGGGGAAAGGGTGGTCGCAGATAAGGTCAGAAAGCTAACAGGGCCTAGATCATATAGAGCCTTGTAGACATTATGAGGACTTGGGCTTTGTGCTGAGTGGGAAGGAAAACCATTGAAAGATTTTGAGCAGAGACATAACACGATCTGACTTATGTTTTAACCGAATCACTCAGGTTGACTGGTTGGCATTAGTCAAAAAAGAGGCAGGAGTGGAAGATGGTAGACCAGGGAGGAGGCCATTGCAATCATCCGGGCAAGTGGTGATGATGACTTGGACCAGGATGGTACACGGAGGTGGTGAGAAGTGGTCAGCTACATACAGATTCTCTATGTATTTTGAGGTGGAGCCAATAGAATTTGCTAATGACTTTTATGTTGTGGTGTAAGAGAAAGATGGCTAAGGTTCTTGGCCTGAACAAATAGAATAACAAAATTGCCATCTGAGAAGGGGAAGACTGCAGAAAGAGCAGATTGGGAAGACACAACCAGGAGTGCAGTTTTTTCCTTTTTTTTTTTTTTTTTTTTTCTCTGCAATACGTGGGCCTCTCACTGTCGTGGCCTCTCCCCTTGCCGGACGCGCAAGCTCAGCGGCCATGGCTCCGCGGCATGTGGGATCCTCCCGGACCGGGGCACGAGCCCGTATCCCCTGCATCGGCAGGCGGACTCTCAACCACTGCACCACCAGGGAGGCCCGGGAGTGCAGTTTTATATCAATATGTATTGTTCTCTAGATACCAAAGAGGACTTTTTGCGTCGGCAGTTGGTATAATTTAGGTATACAATTCTGGAGTTCAGAAAGAATAAACAGGCTGGGAATAGAGATTTAGACATAATCAGTAGGTAGATAAATTTAAAGCCCTAAGACTTATGAAATCAAAAGAGTGAGTAAAGAAAAGAGGACAGGGACTTCTCTGGTGGCACAGTGGTTAAGAATCCACCTGCCTATGCAGGGGACACGGGTTCAATCCCTGGTCCGGGAAGATCCCACATGCCACAGAGCAACTAAGCCCATGCGAGGCACCAGTACCGAGCCCGGGTGCTGCAACTACTGAAGCCTGCGCACCTAGAGCCCATGCTCCACAACAAGAGAAGCCACCACAATGAGAAGCCCGCGCACCCGTCGAAGAGTAGACCACGCTCGCCACAACTAGAGAGAAAGCCCACACGCAGCCAAAAAACCCAACGTAGCCAAAAAACCCATCACAGCCAAAAAAAAAGAAAAGAGAACAGCTCCCTCCTAAGCCCTGGAGAGATTAGGAGGAATCAGCAAAGGAGACTGAGAAGGTGTAGCCAGAGAAGTAGAAAGAAAACCTAGTGGGGGTGGTATCCTGGGGGCCAAATAAAGAAAATTTTTCAAGGAGGAAGCCATCAGCTGTATCAAAAGCTGTTGACAAAGCAGGTGGAAAACAAGGACTAAGAATTTTACATTTAACAACATAGAGGTCATTGGTGACCTGAGGGGCAGTTGCAATGGAGTTGTAGGTGCAAAAGCTAGATGTGAGTGAGTTCAGGAGACGGTCACCAGAGAGGAACTGGAGACAGGGAGTGCAGATAACTCTGTCAAGGAACTTTTCTGTACGGAGAAGGAGAGAAGGGGAGCAGTCGCCCGAGCGGGATTCTCAAAGGGTTCTATCTGTGATGTGCAAAAAAGTAAGACTCACTGCTGTGGGAGGATGCTGAAGGGCTGTGAGTGGAAGGAACCTCAGAATGGGTCCCAGACAGTGCCAGAACCAGGCTCAAGACTTCTGACTTTTTGCTTTGCCCTGCTCAGGAGAGTCCCCCAGAAATCTTCATAGAAGGCATCTTCCAGCCAAGCTATAAAAGTGGGAAGCTACACGTTTTAGAGAACTTGCTAGAATCCATTGATCCAACCTTGGAAAGCTGGGGAAAGTACTTGATTGCCGCCTGCCAACATTTACAGAAGAAGAACTTCTACCACGTTCTGTACGAGCTACAGCAGTTTATGAAGGTAACAGCAGCCCCATCCTGCCTCCTACCTCTGTCCCTGTTGGCCTGTCGCGTGGGGAGGCGGTGCAGGATGAGGGAACGAGACTGTCGTTTTGGTTCCTGGCCTTTTGCTCCTTGACTAAGCCGACCGCAAATCCATGTCACTCTCTAGCATTCTTACATAATATCAGGATTTCCATTCTTATCCTAAAGAGGCAGACTTTAATCTTGTCAGTAATAGCTTTCTTCAGAATTCAGGGAATATAAAGATAAAAAAGAAGGATATGGTAGTTTCAAGATAAACATGGGGCATGGATGCAGAATTCATAAGGAATGAAGGAGACGTAAGTGTTTTTAGAGAAGGTGCATGAAAGGGGAGGGATCGTGTTTCTTCCAAGCTGTCTGAGGGTGGCCAACATGAAATCACACAGAAATTGGCTTATTCAATGCCAGAGTGAAAGTGAAGGCAAGTCAAATGGAAAATCAGAAGTCTCGTTTTTAAAGATCTCTTTTGTGCTGGAATAACGTCCTACCTAAGGTCCCAGCCAGTCAGTTCACTTTCGGATCTCTTGGGCCTCTGAGGGTAAGGGTGCTGGCAGCCAGGCTTCACGGGGGGGCATCAGATCAGAGTTCTCCTCGCACCCCCACCCTCCAAATCTCCTTTGACCTGAACTTTCATTTTCCTCTTCCAGGACCACATCCGGGCCGCCATGACCTGTATTCGGTTCTTCAGTCACAAAGCAAAGACATATACAGAGCTGGGAGAGAAGGTCTCTTGGCTGCTTAAGGCCAAGGACCACCTGAAGATCTACCTCCAAGAAACCTCCCGCCGTACTGGAAGGAAGAAAACCACCTTCTTCCGAAAGAAGATGACGGCAGCTGATGTGTCAAGGTAACTTGGGGTTCGGGGAGCAGTTGGGGTGGGGCAGAAAGGCTGGAACTGAGAGTCTGTCGGTGATGCAGCCGCTCTTGCCCATCTCTGAACTCTTGGGAAACAAACACATACACACACATGCACACACCTAACAGGAATCATTCCTGGATGACAGTGTCCGGTACAAGCCTGGAAAGCCGCCAGAGGAGCTTGTAGGAGAAGAGGAAAGTAGGGGAGGCGCAGGAACTGGGATCACATGTGACAGTCAGACTAAGCCCCTACCCCTTACAAGACGCAAAGGAGGTCCTGGGTGATCTGGCCCCTGCCTGCATCTCCATCTTACCTCATGCTACTCTCTGTTTTCTTGTGGCGCGTCAGGCACCCTGGCCTCCGAGGGGTTCCTCAGCACCCCAGATCCTTCCCTCCTCTCAGCCTTTTTGCTGAGAACACAACATCTGAAGTAAATGCTCCACCGCTACCGTTTATTCCTTCACAGTCCCAATCACTCGATACTTGATGTGTCTGTTTGTTATCCACCTCTCCTCTAGCCTCTGAACTCTGGAGGGCAGGGTTCATGTCTCTCTCAACCGCTGCCGTTGTTAGTAGCGCACCGTGCTCCATAAACACTCATCAGCCACTCTCGTCTTGTCGTAACTGCTCAGAGGGTATTTTGGATCTCTTTTCCCTCCGCATCCTTTCTTCTGCCTTTTCCATTGCCATCCTATTATGACTTCTCAGTCACCTGGCCCTGGTTACTCCTGAGGCCCCTCCTGAGGCTAGACTGTGCATCTCCTGTCACCGTAGGCACATGAACACACTTCAGCTGCAGATGGAAGTGACCAGGTTCTTACATCGCTGCGAAAGTGCTGGGACCTCTCAGATCACCCCCTTGCCTCTGCCAACTCTGTTTGGAAACAACCACATGAAAATGGATGTTGCCTGCAAGGTATGCACGATGTGTCAGACCCCCGGCAGGCTGTTCTCTTTCAGAGTGCCTATCACACTTGTAATCATCTAGTTATCATTATTTCAGTCATTCTTTTGATGGCTGCCTCCCTGATGGAATGAGAGCCCCGGAAGGCTGGAGAGCGAGTCCGTTTTGATTACTCTTGTATCGCTAGTGCCTGCACTCAGTAGAGTCTCCACAAATATTTGTTGAATAAATGAATGAATGAGGGCCTCGTTCGTGATTGAGGGGCTGCTCCAGTAATTCTTGCTTCTTTAAGCATGTTTCCCTCTCGTTTTCAGGTCATGCTAGGAGGGAACAATGTAGAAGATGGTTTTGGAATTGCATTCCGTGTTCTGCAGGTATGACTCAGATTACTCAGGATTATACCGAGGGCGGTCAGCACGTGACCACAGTTCTGTGAGAGATCATTCTTCAGAAAATTTTTATACCAAGGAAAGCAGATTTACACGTACATCAAGGATGAAATCAACAAGAGGGCTGTTACAGAACTGGGTCAAATTCAAGACCGTAGGCCACTTTGCCAAAAGCCAAGCAACCAATGACGAGTTCATCAAAAGCTATCAAATAACTACCCGAAACGAGGTCTAGGAGAGTTCCACACAGCTGTCCTCATTGCGGGGGAGTGTGGCTGGAGGAGGTGGCAGAGGGGCTGCGGTGCGGGGGTCCTATTCAGGGAGAGGGGCCCCTGCATCCTTCTGCCCAGCAGCCGGCTCGAGGCATACATTTTCTATTGCTTGTGATACGAGGACACGGGTACAGCTGTGGCACTGGAGCAGAGGATGGAGCAGGGCGCCAAAACCATGAAAAGCCAGACCACTCCCCACCACACAGTGACACACAGGCACGCTGAGGCCCATCACCCACCAGGCAGACACGGTCTTCACGCAGTGTGCATCTAAAGGATCAAAGACAACAAAGAATCTGACAGATTTCTTTCTTCCCACCCATTTTCCATGTTGGGCAAAGACCCCGAGGCAACAACATGTTTATCTGGTAGTTTCTAGCAAATCAGTCTTTTGGTGAATTGGTCTGTTTCCTAACACCAAGGCATCTCTTAACAGAGCACCAAGTGCACCAATATCAGCCCCCGATATCCATTTTCCAAGAGAAAGGTGACTCGTTAGAGAATGAACTGGTCTTGGGCATTTGATTAGAATATTTTCAGAAAGTGACATGGCAGCAAGTGAGGTGTACCAGTGTAGATATCAAAGTTACGATTTTTATGGATGCTTCCTAAATGTCTGCCGAACTCCAAAAGAAGAACTTTTTGCTGATCGTTTGTTTGTTTATGTATGTTCTCTCTTGGGACTACAGTCTTGTCTACCCCAAGCCCAGTGGGAGCTCTGTAAATGTCACCTTCCTTCCCGCCATTGGTGTCCCTGCCTCCCTACACCCATCACCCCATGTTCTGTTCTAGGACTTCCAGCTGGACGCTGCCGCAACCTACTGCAAAGCCGCCCGGCAGCTGGTGGAGAGGCAGAAGTACAGCGAGATCCGACAGCTGCTCAAATGTGTCAGCGAGTCAGGCATGGCGGCCAAAAGTGACGGGGACACCATCCTCCTCAGCTGCTTGGAAGCATTCAAGAGAATTCCACCCCAGGTGTGCTCCCCCCGAGACCTCTCAGCTCCTCTGTCTGTTTCAGTGTCTTCACATCCCCCTCTTTATTTTTCTCTTCCCCATACTTACTATACCTGAAACTCTACAAGATCCCTCTGTCTTTCTGACTCCTCTGTAATGATGGCCTCACTAATCGACCCTTCGCTGGAAAGAAAATTCATGGTGATAATCACTGTATCCAGAGGCCGGCCCTCAGCATCCCATTGTCTGATGCTGTTGGTCCCCGGAAGTGTCTGCGGACCGACAGAGTCGAGTTTCTCCCTGTGATTGTAGACGAGGTCATCGCGGGCCTGCAGGTGGCCTTATCGCCTGCAAAACTGTCCCCCGATGGCTTCCTAGTGGGGTGAACAAAGCCACATCCTTCTTTTTCTTTTTTAATAAATTTACTTTATTTTATTTATTTTATTTTTGGCTGTGTTGGGTCTTCATTGCTGCACGTGGGCTTTTCTCTGGTTGTGGCGAGTGGGGTCTACTCTTCTTTGCAGGGCTCAGGCTTCTCATTGCGGTGGCTTCTCTTGTTGCGGAGCACGGGCTCTAGGCACGCGGGCTTCAGTAGTTATGGCTCGCAGGCTCTAGAGCACGGGCTCAATAGTTGTGGCGCACAGGCTTAGTTGCTCCGCGGCATGTGGGATCTTCCCAGACCAGGGCTCGAACCCGTGTCCCCTGCATTCGTAGGCAGATTCTTAACCACTGTGCCACCAGGGAAGCCCCACATCCTCTCTTGAAGGCCAAGGACAGGCCTCTTGTTTGCTGTTGCTTCTCAGATTCCCAAGCTTAGTGTTATTATTAGCTTTCCTCTGTTGCTCTTATAGCAGGAGTTGAGTTTGGTTTTTGTGGGTTCTTTGGCCGTGCCACGCAGCTTGTGGGATCTTAGTTCCCTGACCAGCTATTGAACCTGGGCCCTCAGCAGTGAAAGCATGGGGTCCTAACCTTTGGACCGCCTGGGAATTCCCAGGTGATGAGTTTGTAGAGAAGGGTCAGGCAGGCATCCCCACCCTGAATCAGAACGGCTGGGCTGAGGCTGGGTTCGGCCCCAGCTGCCACGCTGGGGACCGCTCCGTCTCGTGACTACTGTGTCTCTGTTTTGAACAGGAGCTGGAGGGCCTGATCCAGGCGATGCACAGTGATGACAGCAAGGTGAGTGGAACTGTCTCCACACCCAGTAGCACTTGGGAACAGCACTTTGGACTTGCCTTTTCACCTTTATTATCCTTTGCTCGCTACCGTTCAACCTGTATCTCGGCCTCTTTGTTATCAGAGGTGGGGCTGAGACCCTGGTAGGGGCGTAGAAGGGAGGGAATAGGTGGGGAACGTGAGAAACCTGACCATATGAGCCTTTGCCCTCCCATTTCTTTATCCCCCAAGACACACATGTCCTAGGCTTCTCTCAACTCTCCATTTCCTATGGAGGTTTTCTCTCAGAGCCCTAGGAAATCCTCACTTTCATCTTCAGATGGACTCACTGCATGAGGTTCTCAGAGTGAGCAGGCATCTCTTTATCCCGGAGGAACAAGTGCACCCTCTACAGTAAGGAAAAAACCCACCCAACCCTTTGACCAACAATGTCTATGGGTGCCTCAGTCTCCAGAACAGGCCTTGCCCCTGGGGCCTGCAAGCTCTTCCCGTTGAGTGGGAAATCGGTGAACCTTTGTGAAGGGTGCCAGCTGCTCCTGTTTGTGGCTTCACCACAGGTTCAATCCACCTGCCATCTGGTGGAAGGCCCACAGGCCAAGAGAGGCAGGAGAAAGCCAAGCCAGCCTGCCCTGGCCACTAGCAGCGGAATGATCTGGCAGTTGAGTCCCTTGTGGAGAAAACTAATGTTAGGCAAACAACTTACGCAACCACATTGCTGCTCCCCATGGCGGTATTGCTAATCCCTGGACTGAATTTGCAGGGCATTTTTCATTTGAGGTTAGGGAGAAGCTGTTCTTAACATTTCTTCACTTAATTCTGCAACATCCTGATGACATCCTGTGGAAAGGATGGAATTCTGACATCCTGAAATGTGGAAAATTACTTTTCTAGAATCAAAATGAGAACCCGACAGCCAGGCCAGACACCCAGGTTTCTTGATTCTCCAGCTATGGTTCTTTTCCAAGCCTTCAGTGATCCTCCTGTTCTGTAGGACAGAGACTTTGTGCCTGGGAAAGATGGACACTGAAAGCTATACCGTCGTTATTACTTTATCAGGTTTTTTCTGGCAGCAGCTGTTCCAACACATTTACGTGATCTCAGGTCACAGGATCTTGCCAAAAAACAGCTTCATTCAGTTTCTATTCCAGACTTTCTGGAAAAATGCCCTCCTCCTCTAGGTAGGAATTTTGCCTGCCAACTTGTGATATTCTGTTTAACGTACACTGGTACCAAGCAGAGCTGAGGGCCTGGGTGAAGCGAATGTCCTAGGGCAGCAGGTAGATAACCATACTGCAGGACTTGATCACTTCAGAGAGCTCAGACATGTCAGAACATGTCTTCTAGCTATAGGCGATTATCTATAATTGAGCTTAGGAAAGGAAGACTTTAGTGACCAAGGTAAAAAAAGAAGATGGAGCATTGAAACATCAAGAGAGAAGAGTCCCCTCCAACCACCAGAAGGACTGTCACAGCAGAAAGGCAGCTGCTAGCGGGAGCTCTGAGGCAACTCACCTGGGCCTTGCTGTTCGCTGGCCTGGAACCCTGGCTAACCAGGGAGGTGCTGGTGAGGTCGTGGCCAGGGAAGGCAGGGGCTCTCGTCTCCACCCAGCTGGGCATTCCT